AGCGGTTGTACTTAGTAGAAACACTGTATAACTAACTTTTTAAAACCACTTTTATAGCATTTTTTGAAGTGTAGTACTACCTACCATTTATCAAGGAAACAAAAAATAAAAATGAGTAGAACCACAATTTAAGAATGTTCTGAAACACATTATATCCAATTCCATCGTGAATTTACCAATCTAAATTACATTATGTTCATATCACAAGTATAAACACTGTATTATACATTAGTATACTGGATATACAGTGTTTTTATTTAGTTTTGAGGTTTACGGTGATTTACCGTGGAATCACAGTGTTTAAGTGAAGTTTTTGTGTTAAGTGAAGTTAAAATTTGTCGTGTATAAATTTCTACTTCTTTATGTGCTCAGTCTTCGGAGGTTAGCGACAACACCGAATTTCTGTAAGCGTGCAAACTATTTTTACTAAAAACAGTCAGTTCTACCAGTGATTCGTTTATCAATAAATGACCATATTGTGACGCATGCACGTGTCTCTCTCCATTCCGAAAAAAATGAATTTGAATTCATTCTCTTGTTATAAATTAATTGATGAACAAAACACGAGATGTATTTGACTTAAAAGATTGATTGTCTGTTTTAAGACAATTATGTACTGCAAGTACAATTTTCATTTCAATGACCAAAAAAGGGCAACCTCGAAATGGAGATGAAAATGATCCTTCGGCAACATTTTTAATAAATGTCATAGTAGAAGCTAATTAAGGCTATAAGAGCAAGAGTGGTCTAGCCAATATTTTGTTGATAATTGAGTTATATATTGCAATCACGTCTAAGGACCTAAAGTTTTAAAGCAAAATAGGTCTAGCCAACATTTCTGTATATTATAACATAAATCTCTCATAAATATGTAAAAGAATAGGGTATATATCACACATTCTAGCCTTCCATTGAATAGATGTTTGTGTTAAGGTGGAAATTAGACTGTGTAGTGTTAGCACATTTTACTGTCATAAAGATAACAGAAAACGATTTTTATTATACTAAGAAGTTAGAAAGAAATATAACAAATCGCAAACTTAATACAAGAATCCATTCCCAAGAAACAAATCCATTTCCAATTTACTACAAATACAGCAATAATGCAGATGTTCCCTTTTACTTATTAGATATCAAAAAGAGGACAACCAGGGAAATACTTCCAGGGAAATAGAATATCTTTATCCCGATGTACATCATGCATTTTACACAAGCACCACAACAATAAGATTCGCTATTAGCCAGAAGAAGGGATCATTACCGAGGAAGATTAAGTATTTTTGTTACTTTGTGTTTTATTAAAGCATATTTTCAACATTGATATTGTTTAATTGTATTGTACTCTAGGTCTAATCCACATTCCTATCAATATTTTTAAGGGCACTCTGATGCAAAACGGGTCTAATCAACAAAAAGCTAAAATTTTTATATTTTTGTTAAATATAGTGCACGATCTTGGAGTTTTTTTACTAGTTAATGATGTGTAAGCAATGACTACCTTTTAGTATCATATTTTAATTTTAGAAACTTTCAAAAAAACGCATATATTCTTGGTTCATGTAAATCCATTTTTAATCTTTGGTGTTAGACCACTCTTGCTCTCATAGCCTCAATTTTTCACGAGTTTCTAGAACCCTTAAATTAAAACCAACTAAAGATGAACACTATCAGGACCTTGAATTCTTGCAAGTAAGGTTCATGGCGTTAAATTTTTCGCAGAAGACCAACCTACAGATGTTGGCAAATGTAAAAAAGATGAAATAATAAAGAAACTTGAACTCTTTTGATGACACAAACACAACACAAGATCGTTTTGGCTTAATTTGTCAGTTTTTGAGAAAAAAGTGAAGAAGCAGTTATTGAAGCAATTGCATGACATAGACAATGACACAGCCACCTTTACTTCCAAGCCATGAAGTAGAAATTTGGCAACAACGCGTGGTAGTCCGACCGTGGTTTGTTTTGTTTAACATTTCATATGGGAAGGCTTGTAAAGTTTGTTGAATTTAGTGTTTTTTAACTTTATTCGAATGTTTTATTTGTAAATTGTGTTTAAATCAATTAGAAAATATTAATATAAGTGAAATTTCATTAAATTTTGAACTTTTAGAAGATTCTTAACGATAATTTAAAAGGCAAGTATAAATATAACTTACAAAACAAACTGAAAATAATAATACTTTTGCTTCTTGTTACAAAATATGTAAATTAAAAACAACAATAATAATACTTTTGTGTTTTGTTACAGATGCTCTGGCATTGTTGTGTACCTGGTTGCAAAACCAATTATGCCAGAACTTTAAAAACGAAACAGGCAGAAAGTACGTTTTCGTTTCCCAAAGATCCCCAAAGAAGGTATACTGGGTTATGCTCTATTCATAGAGAAGGCTATACAATTACCAAATCTTCCGTAGTATGTGCCAAACATTTTCATGAAGATGATATTCAGCGGACTGAACAATGAGAAGATAAAGATTGAAATGTACACATTGAAAAGTTAATATTTCCCAAATTAAAAGGCAATGCAGTTCCTAATATATTTCCTGAAGTACCATCATATGTAACTGTTCATCGTACTAAAGAAAGGAGGAATCCCGAAGACAGAAGAAACTTTTTGCATAAGAAGAGGGAACAAGAGATAACATAATTATGACAATTAGACTTAGACAATAATATCCCATTGAAAAACTGGACAAGTAAAATTACAAGTGACTGTGTATATTTCTATGTATTAAACATTAATCAGTTGGGACACAAGTGTGATCATATTTGTGTAATACATAGTGTAATAGTTAGCAGTAATTTTAGTGTAATCGTCAATGTAGGTAAGAATAGAGATTTGAAATGGATTTTACAATATAGTAAATTAACAAGATGGTCACAATTAGAGAACTTACTTTCTCATTTAGATCTGCTTTTTAGATAAGTGATAACAAATTTGACTATTACATTCAAAAATCTTTTGAGAATATAGGCTATTTTAAATCGATATACAAGTTATAAATGGTATGTTACATTCAACACATTTTTCATGTATGTCTCTCTTAACTTGGTCTATATGACAAAAAAACCTATTCATATTTAAAATTGCTACTTTCGTACACCTAAGTATGAAAATTCAACAAAAGTTATAAGTAAATAGTAAAATATTTAATTTTCAATTAGATTAATTTAGAACCATATTTATATTGTGTCTGATTTCTTAGGATGAATTTTTTAATCATAATAGTTACACTAAGTTTTTGCTTAACAAATTTTATATCTTTTGTATTTTTAATAATCTTTTTAAATGTCGTGTTAATGTATTGTGTTATTTATATGCTTAAGTACTTAATATTTAAAATTTCTAGGGATTCTTGACTGCATTTGATTGTAAGATTAACTGTTTGACACTGTATTTTAAGTGCAATAAATGTTACTCTAGTGATTATTTTATTGATAATAATATAACCTAAATAATATTAAAACTTTGTATATATTTATTAGGTAAATATAAGGTTGTATTGATTTAATTTCCCTAAAAATATTTCTGTAATGAATTGAAGTTTTCAAAATATCAGTTTCCTAAAATTCAAATTAGTTTAATTTTCTGGTAGACCTTACAGCTGATTATCGGACTACCGACGTCATAGAATGCAGTGTTGCCTTTTTTACTTCATGGCTTGGAAGTAAAGGTGGCTGTGACAATGACCATTAATATGTTCCAATATTTTAATGATTTGTTAAATGAACGCGAATAAAGTATAATTTGTAGTATTTAATGTGTTTAAAAATTGGGATTTTATTTAATTTTCATATATTTCCCAAATAAAAACACGGTATGTGTTCAACACCTAGTCAGAAAATAAAATGCATATATAAACTAAAAAACCCAAAATTTTATTTTATTTCAATTCAAACAAAATGGAAATTTAAAAAGTTTAGTCCGTTACGTTTTCTGATCTGGTGAATATTTTTCGAATTGTGTACAGCATTTCTACTTGAGGCAGCCGCTATATTCTAATGGATTTGTATATTTATATTATTAGATATTTATAAATTGAACATTTGTGTTCACTGAGGATGAACATATTTGGATCCGTCAAAGCAATTAGCTAACCTAACTCAATAGTCTGTATATTAGAATGTAGGTGAAACCGAAATAAAACACTTTTACGCTGGTCCGAATGTACAAACAATCTAGTTTCAACATCACACAAAGATAACACCACCCATGTACCCAGGTTCCTAGTAAATAGTAATCAGCAGATTGTCTTGTAACAATTATGTGACTTACACTACATTTCACCGGCCTCATTAATAATAATATACATTAGTTATTTGGTTAGCCAACGAAATTTTTTTAAAAAATGAGCAAATTACTTTAACTTTCGATATAACAAATTTTCAACAATATATAAAATAAATATTTCAAAATATTTTAATGAAATTTGTATTTAAAATAGTTTCAAATAACAACATCAGTATTATTAAATACAGCAATACCAACAATGTATATATAAAACTTTTTACAATATTAATATATACAATAATCACTATTTCTACACTATATTCGCAGATAAGTTAGCACAGATCCTGTGTTTTAGATATTATTATTTCAAAGTATTTTATAGAACTTTCGGAGGCTCTGAATTATTTAAAAATTCCCCCCTTAAAAATAATAATAACAAAATTATTTTTTGTTTGAAAATAAAGAAAGACTTAACAGTCCTAAGCTGTATTTAAAAATTCAAGTCTCTAGCCTATCGAGAAGTTTAAAATCGATTACAAAAATCTACCCAAACACATCAGGTATCATAAAGTTAATAAAGTCGTATATATGATAAAATAAAAACAATTAAAATTTTATAAAAACCAAAACACACGACCTGTGCCTAAAAATCATGTTTGGAAACATATACGTTGAATGTATAACAAGTGCATCAACATTTACTGTCCAACATTTAATATCACGATAAAAGTTTATAATTATTTTAACTATCAATCACATTTGTTTATATCTATACAGGCCTATGCTTGACTTCAAGAAGTTGGGGATGATTCTCGACAATATTCAAGAGTATTCCTTCGATGTAAGTTCTTAGTTGCCGGTTTACTTCTTGTTGCTCTTTCAATGCTTTTTGAACCTAAAGAAATATCAAATTATTAAAAATTCTAATTTCATACTTGATTGTTGTGTGTTGTCTGAACTGAATACCCAACCTGATCACCTTCGTCGGTTATTTGTTTGTTTAAATTTGATATTAAGAATTTACCTTAACAATGACCCCTATGATGTTTCATCTATGTAAATAATTTTGTGGTTTAAACTCCAATTTTAATATAGGTCACCAGCACCCTTCTTATGTAAAAGTGGTTTCAGTTAAATTGACTGATACTTTGTAGAGATGTAGCTTTGGTCATGCTGATCAAAAGTTATCATTGCGTCAAGACTCAGAAATCAATTGTTTCTTTGTTTACCACACTGAAACGTGATACGAGTTGCAACTCTTAGCGTCATTGGTTGTCGTATCTGTGCAAATATTCCTGGTGTTCTCTTATTTACTTATGTAAAAGTGTTTCAGTTAAATTGACTAAAACATTGCAGATAGGTAGTTTGGGTCATGCTGATCAAACGTTCTTAGTGCCCTAATACTCATAAATAAATTGTTTTTGAGTTCCAGAGCTTCAAAATATCGGTTTTTGGTCCATTTTTTAAAATCATGAATTTGGAAAGGTCCCACACATTCAATATGCTGCATCTGAATCTCAATAAACACAAATATGGCATCGGGATGATATTTATTAATGTTTCCTGTCAAAAAAACTAAAACGTCCTGGATAGAATACCCATGTGGATAACCGAGTGGAATATCTGCAAAGTTTCAGCCAATTAAACTGAAACACTTTTACACAAAAAAAAAACACCAGGAGTATTTCCACAACTATGACAATGAGGCTAGTTGCATCTTGTGTCACATTTCAGGGAGGTTATTTTGAAAATTTTTGGCAGCTTTGCTCCTTCTTAAAATTTTATACGTAGTACTTTCTGTTATTGTTATGGTTGAATATTATCGTATTAGACAGTTCAGAGAGTGTATTAAAGCCATGAAAAATATGCGCTTTTTTGGATAAAAACGGAGTCTCATATGCAAAAAAAAGATTTTTTGTCAAAAATTAAATGGTCTAAAATTTTTTTCTTTAAAAAAGTTAAGAAAGACCTTTACCCGCATGTGCGCCAATGATGAATATAAAATTCCTAATTATATATCAAAAAATGTGCAACAACCAACCCTTAAAACCCACTAAATTTCATTTGCATTCGTCAACCAGTTTCAGATTAATAAACTAAATAAATAAATAATAAATAAACCGTCAGTTTGTAAAAAAATTAACACCCTCTATCTCGGAAAAGGAAGCAAATGCGGAAATACGTTTATATAGCAAACTGTCAAAGACAGTGATTGAAACAGTGCTGCCGTGGTCTGTCTGGCCAATGAAAAAGTTTTTGTCATTGTTGAGTTTGGAATTCATGTCATAAAAACTTTCACTCGGGTAGAAAATAGAGAAGAATAGTTCGTAAAAGGCATTTTTCTACTCTCTTCCTTGTAAATTGTATATTACCTACTATTTGGATGCTAAGTAAATGCATCATAACAGATACTGACACGTAATGACTAGCACGTAATAAAAAAAAATTACGCTTCAGTTTTATAAAAATGTGTAATATCACATAAGCCTCGTAAGTCAGTTGGCCGAGTTACCATGGAAACGAACTAACAGACGTTATCTTGACAGATTAAAATTTATTAATCTGTCAGTGTAAATATAATGGTAATTTAATTTTTATTTTTATAAACGAAAATAATCGTAGAAAAAGTAGAGTACACAACTTGAGTTGTAAGCTTATTACATGCTTGTAAAATTACTGCGCTCGCCGCTACACGGCTCGCGCGCAACTTTTTTACTCGCATGTAATAAGCTTCTTACAACTCTCGTTATGTAATATACTATTAACCCATCTAGACCTAAGTGTAATATTAAACCAGGGGAAAGGAAATCTTTTTTTGACATAAAATAATAATTTTGCTTGCTTACAAGATTACTTTGATAAAGCACGTCCCAAACGTCATTATTCCATGATAAAAATCATAAATAAAACTAACACAAGCGTGATCTTTCAATTTTTTTTTATATTCAGTCAAGTTTAATTTTCAAATTTTTGCCCCCTTATTTTTTTTTTCGCCGGAATATAGCACCCTCTAGCCGGCTTCAATTAAGATCATCAGGAGTTCGACCTTCAGGTTATTTAATAGTACCATAGTACTAGTTTAAGATCCCACTGCAAGATCATTACGTTTATAACGTAATTAATCAAACTCACATTTTACATAACATTTAAGAATAGGAGAATACATTGATTACAGGTTGACAGTCAAAAAGTGGCCGCAAATATTTTTAATTCAATTAATGGTAATTACAGACACTGGTTTGACAAGTGATAATAATATGTACATTATTAACAATATTTATGAACGCATGTTTATTTAGAATTTTATTTTTTGGCTTTGCTTGAACTCATTTTATATTTATATTCTTCTTTGTCGCGGGAATTGTTATGCTTTTCAGCGTTGGATTGTTTATTTTTTTGTACACTGCTTTAATTTTTTTATTCGTCTTTCTCCTTTTTGTCCTATTTCGTTTATTCTATCTATCCATTTTTTCTTGGCCTGCTTTTTTTCTTTGTTCTCTTTGCTTCTATTATCCTCTTAGTTAAATAGTTTTGGGGTTTTCTCATTAGATGTTCGTATCAGCCCAACTGCTTCCTCTCATTTTTGCTTTTGTTTCATTTTTTTTTCTGTAATATCCATGCCTCACTCGTATTATAGATAAGACAACAATTGCACTAAAAACCCTAAATTTAACTCTTGTATTAATTTTTTTACTGAATATGATTTCATTTAATGTATAAGTATATTTTAGTTGACATACCTTGCCTTTTTGCTATATTTATCTATTTTTCCATTAATATAAATTATAGTCCCTATGATCCTTTTCTTTGATTCTGATTGTTTAATTATGTATTTTCATTTTAATATTTATTATCATGATATTGCTTTTCTCCTAGTTTATTTCGATTTTCATTTTTCTTCCATTTTTTTCATATCTCTTTCATCCAAATCTCTGCTAATCTCAAAATTTTTTCATAATTGTCTGCTAAAAGAACTATTGTAGGTCGGCTGCGTACATTGTGCCTCTACTTGTATTGGTTTCATTGTTGTTTGTAATTTTTTTTTCGTTTTCTTGTGTTATTTATTATTCTGTTAATTATTATTATATATAATAGTGAACGCAAGCTATTTCCTTGCTTTATGCCTTTTTCATTTCAAACTTTCAGATCTAAGAAAATTGGCGTGATAAATTGGCAAACGTTGTTAATGGACACAACTGTGGATAAAACCATTGTTAATGAATGGCAATGACTTGCGAAGACTTCCACGGTCGGAAAAAACCTCGCCCTTTTCTTTTTCAATTCATTTTATCCATGTTTTTATTAATTACTTGATCTCGTCTTCGCACCTTGTCAAAACTCTAATAATAATAACTCTAATAACGTCAGTAAATCAATAGCATTTATTTTGATGACTAAGAAGTTCGCTTTATTTATAAACCAGCTTCTATAATCAATTTCTTCAAGATACTGAATGAAATCGAATTAAGAATGGACGATAGCGGAAATTACAAATAGATATTTTACTACGTTCTTTATAATAAACTCACCTCGTCTTGCGACATAACATCTAATTCAGCTGCCAAACTATTTTCACCTATCGAAAGAATCCTACCGGTTTCTAAACCTGCATGCAATAAACTAGCTTGTAGTTCCTCGTTAACTTCTCGCAACTCTGAATTTTCTGACCGTAAATTTGACATTTCTTCATGCAACTCTTCTAACCTCAACGTTTCGGGAGAAGTGGTCGGAAGAGCTGGGGTTCTAGCTTCCAGTCTTAATCTTTCTATTTCTTTCGACAAGTCTTCTGAGAGTTGTACTTGAGCTTCATATTCACGTTTTAACCTAAAATATTACTTAATATCAGTATAATGTTATACAAGAAGTAGTTCATTAAGTTAAAAAAAAAAAAGTTTGCTATTATTTTTTCACCTAGTATGTATGGTAGAATCACCATAAAAAACAGGTAAAAAAAATCGTGGATTAATACCATTAATAACTGACAAATATTTTCCAGATAAACAAATCGTGGATTATTGTTATTAATCAACGATAAAATGTTTACCATTACATACTGTGGTGGTGATTTTTAAATCACGCCGTGATCAGTGACCGTGATTTTTAAATAACGGTGACCGTGATATGTTTAACTAACGCAAGATGGTTTGACTTATAATAATCAATTTATAATACTAACAATAACGTAATCAATTTAAAACAATATAATACTGTCTTGACAACGCTTACTCTTTAAATAAAACTAAAAATAACTAGAATTTCACTTAATTTGTTTTATAATCTTTTAAGAATATTTTTATGAAAGAAAATAATTATTATTTTAAAAAGACAAAAATATCAGTAGATAATAACATAAAATATGTTGTATTTCAGTTCCTAATATTCACCATTGGTAATTCCCCAGATGTTAGTCACCGTTCTCCAAATCACGTTCACCGAGAGTATCATAATACCTATTATATAAACAAGTTTTGTGAGACGGTAACCGTGAATTGATGTCTGATATAATCTGGTCACCGATCTCGGTTATGGAAGTTAGTAAGGAACGCTAAAAGTTTATGGTTTATAGTTATCGGTGATTTATAAATCATCGTGACTGAATCACCGGTAGTGAAATCACGTCCCATTACTCTACATCCATGTTTAAGTTCAAAACCATTAGAAAATTATGAAAAAAGCAAAAAATAAAGAAGCGGAAAGAATAAATCGAAACCATGATAGAAAGAAAGATAAACTTAAAATGCCTGAAACTTATATACTCAAAACAGAAATATATAATATAAAGAACAATAATGGAAAAATGACAAGCAGTAGGAGTGAGATCCTTACGGTCTCACACGCACATTATCAGCGACCTTACAACAGTACGAAAAAAATCACCTGAAGAACTAAATAGGTTATTGAACTCTAAAACTAAGGATGTATATTCCAAGCTGCAGCTAGAAATTATTAAAGCAGAAATAAGAAAAGCACTTAAGCAAATGAGAAACAAATCGTCACGAAAATATGGAGTCACTACAGAAATATTAAAGAATGGAGAAAAGGCCGTTGTTAATATACCCCACTCGCTGCTAAATCAAATATTACTTGATGATCACCATTTGGAAAGATATCTCTCATATTAACGAATTATAAAATAAATATCCGCAATGCTTTAAAACAAAACTGTTTGACCAAAGCGTCCTACCAGTGATGACATATGGATGCCAAAGATGGACAATGACAAGGTCAAACATGGATTAATTAGGAAATAGCCAGAGAGCGATAGAAAGGCGAATGTTAGGAATAGGCTTGAGACAGAAAATTTAATGAGAATTATATGTCATAGAAAAAGGTTGCTACTTTTATTTCACTTGAAGAAACATTTCTTGGCTTATTTCAGATGCCCCTAAGATGCTGTGAGAGCCACAGTACTGGGTCAAGATTTAATAAAAGAACTGTGCTCTTTCTTCTTCACGTGCCATCTCCGCTACGAAGGTTGGCTATCATCATGGCAATTTTGACCCTGGAGGCTGCCGCTCGGAACAATTGTATGGAAGTGCAAGCAAACCATTCCCTGAGGTTTCTCAACCGTGCTCGATACCTGCCTTTTATTTGTAAGAAGTAGAGAAGGCTCTTAACCAAACAAGAAACAAAAAGTTGAAAGAAGTGGTGCGAATAAACCTTTATCTATATCAATAAAAAAGGATCACTAACCTTATGCAGTAATTAAAGAACCATTGTCATTATTTATTACGCAAGCAAAATCCTGCTACATTATAATAAACGCATAGTTAAAGATTTTCTACTTCCAGAGATTGCCAAGGATTAATGCAGATTCGTATCAGGTAAAGGAAAGCGTAAACATATATTGAACATACGACAGTTAATATGTAAAGCAAGAAAACACAAAATACCAATGCTGCTCTGCTTTGTGCATTATGTAACGATTTCGATTCAGTAAAATGGTATCCCTTCTGGAGTATAATGGTAAATATGGGAGTGCCTATGCACCGATCGTTAACTTAATAAGAAATCTGTATGATAAAAACTCAGCCGAAGTTAAAATATACTGAAAATATTCGAATGCGTTCAGAACAAAAAAAGGAACTAGACGGAACTGCATATTATCACCATTACTATACTAACCAATATTCTACAATATATTGAAAACGTTGTATTTTATTAATTTTATTTTTATTTATAATAAATGTTGTAATTTTTAAAATATGTGGTTCGTTGTTTAATTTAATATATACCTCAGCTAGCTCCATTATGTGTTCTAAGCAATCTGTCACTGTGTGACGTCGACTCTGTAGTCTCCTGGTAGAGTTCAAAAAGAAATTAAACCAAAATTTACTTTAGACTTTTGATAAATTAACCCAAATGAAGCACGTTATTTAATAATATTGAACAAATTTAATATAAACAATAAAATTCGTCTGCAACTTGGGTTGCCTTTAAAAATTTACAAAAATAGGAATAGTGTAAATCTTAATGTGGTTTAGTGTCGTGACAATAAAAATTTATTACAAAATGTGGAGACTCTCTACAAGTACCTAAAAACTAAATAAATATTGCAACTTAATAAAGTGTTTAAATGAACTATAAAGAAAAAGAAAATGAACACTTTATTCCGCTGACTTTCAACTTGCATTCAAATATAATCAAAATTTCAAATGATCCCCAAAATTATTATCCAACCTCACTTTAAAACAGTTGTGATTTATTTAAAGAAAACTAACTACTCGCAAAATTTTTCGCTAAATCGCTATTTTTAATTTAATGATCATTAATATTTTCAATTTTTAAGGCCTATCGCAATTATGTTAATTCATGAATTTTAATTTTCTCAATTTAAATGATATTTCTGTACTCCAACAATAATTTATAAGTCAAATTGTTTCTCTTACTCTCTGGAACAAATTCTGGATATCTCTGCTGTGGGAACTGTGGAAAAACTAAAAAATTCTAATTAGACGAGTTAAAAAACACTCCCGACCTATTCCACAGTTTCAGGGCTCCCCTACGTCGAAAAATCTTCATCGGCCTCCAAAAAACGAATTATCCGTTGCTAACAGCAACCAACGTTCTTTTTCTTTTCGTCTTCTATGTTTTTTAAACCATAAAACTGTCCAGTTCTGACACATTTGTCAATCCACATTAATTTCTCATAATCACTTTAATCACATCTAATTTGGGAATTTATAATAAAAATGTTCAGATATAAAACTTATTCTATTACAATGCTAATACAATTTATTCTTTTTATCTCCACATCATTGTAATTTCTTATTTAACAAAACCCCTATTAATGTAGCTCCCACAGACTTGCTTGAAAGTTTATTTTCTGACGTTTTTTTAAATTTCTATGTTTAAATATTTTTTAAGAATTCTTCTTTTTTGTTCTTTTTAAGGTTTAGACGATTCACCTATACACTAGGCAACTATACTATTCAGAAATTATTAACACTATACCAGGTAAGTCAAAATTAATTTATTTAACAATTTACTAATCTTTTTCTCTCTTTTATTTCAGAGTCGAACCCACATTGTGATGGCTTCATGAAATTCATGAACAACAAACTCATATAAAAATCCATTTAAGTTGTATCCTTTTTAACATATTGAAATCATTTCAATATACTTAATATGAATATATAATGAGAAAATTACTAGACGAATTGGAAGGAGGAATCACAAGGAGGCAGAAAAATCAGCAACCTGCCATACGCAGATTATACACTGATGCTAGCAGCAAACGAAGTCGCAGTAACGAAAAAACAAAAATAATGATCGTATATAGGTCACATAATAATATCTCACGTGGCAAATTTCGAAATAGTAGACAGATTTGTATACTTGGGCTCACTGATAATAAAACAATGGCGATTGCTCCTCAGAAATCAAGCGTAGACTAGCAATGACCCGAACCACAATAGCTAAATTGATTAAAATATGGAAAGACCGAACAATAACAAGGACTGCTAAGCTTAGTTTGGTCAATTCCCTTATTTTTTTCATGACTACGTACGCAGATGGAATATGGAAAAAATCGACAGAAGCTTACGAAATGTGGATCTACAGAAGCTAGGCGTGTACTAGACAGAAGACAGAACCAACCTGTCAATTCTAGAAGAGCTTAATATAAAAGAAATACTATTAAAAAAGAGGGAAACAAGCAAATCTAAATTACTTCGGCTACACATAGATAGGAGAACGGGGACTATGGAACAATTTCTAGTGGAAAGAAAGGTAGAAAGTTGAAGACCAAGAAGAAGATCTCCAAGATGGTACACCAAATGAAGACTAAGGGGAAAATCCCTACATAAATCGCTATCCCTACAGCCGTCCATCTGGCATAGGATTGCAGCCAATGCAGACAGCAAGCTAACAATATTTAGAGCGTTACCACGGCCTTATAAAAGCTCAAGGAATGAGGAGGAGACTGTACTTGCAGCAACATTTTTTGATTTTTATTTTCGCATCGAGTTACCGGACTCCACTCACCCCCTATGAAACACGAAAATCTATGAAGCGTTAGTTTTACCTGTTAATCAGACAGATTTGCTATCCACTGTTTAATTGATACGGTTTAGTTTACCGAAAGTACAAGCTATAGCCGCAAATGTCAAACATTGAACAAAAAATTTCGGTTTAGCAGTGTTCTTCTTTTTCATGTACCATGTCTTTTCAGAACGTTGGTTACCATCATAGCTATCTTAATTTTATTCACTGCCACCCTAAATAGCATGCTTGTATCAACACCATACCAATCTCGCAAAATCTTCAACCATGAGTTTCTTCTTCGTCCTGGACTGCGTTTGCCTGCTATTTTTCCTTGCATGATATTTTGTAGCAACCAATATTTGGGACCTCTCATTACATGTTCGAAATATTCCAGCTTTCTCTGCTTGATACTTTTTATGATCTCAGTAGTCTTGCTGAGACGTTCTAGTATTGTGGAGTTTCGAATCTTCTCCAACCAGGAAACTTTTAAAATTCTTCTATAGCACCACAGTTCGAAAGCCTTAAGGCGATTTAGATCGATTTTATTCACAGTCCAGGACTTGACACCATAAAGTAAAACCGAGAATACGTAGCAGCGAAGTAGGCGGATCCTCAATGCCAATTTTAGGTCTCTGTTACATAACACCTTGGACATCCTTCTAAAAGCAGCTCTAGCCTGCTCTATCCTAGATCTAATTTCGCCGTGACTTTCTGCGTTACAATTTAATTGCTGTCCAAGGTAAACGATTTTATCAACTTGCTCAAGTTTGGTATTATTTACATAGATGGTTTTATATGCTGTTGTTTACTTATTACGAGTATTTTGGTTTTCCGTATGTTAAGATCCAGACCTGCCTCCCTACAACTCTCAACGACACTATCAAGTAGTGTTTGCAGATCTTCTTGACTAGAAGCTAGGAGTACTGTATCATCCCCATATCGAAAATTATTGATGACTTCGCCGTTAACAAGTATTCCTTCTTGTTTTTCAGAAAGTGCTTTTCTGAAAATTCTTTCGGAGTAAACGTTAAAAAGCAGGGGTGACAAGAGGCATCGCCGCCGTACTCTTTTAATATTGAGAGCCTGTGATTCCACACCTTCTACTAAAACTGATGTTGTTTGATTCCAATATAAATTTGAAATTATTCGAACATCTCTGCCGTCCAAGCCAATGTCTTTTAGAGCTTCGATCAATATAGAGTGCTTAACACGATCAAATGCCTTTTGGAAGTCAATAAAACAACAGTATATGTCTACAGATATATCACGACATCTTTGAGCAAGTACGTTCATTCCAAACCGTGCCTCTCTCGTTCCAAACCCGTTACGGAAACTAAACTGAGTGTCATCCAGGTATTCCTCGCATTTATTGTAGATACGACCATGTATTACCTTCAAAAAAAAATTTCCATAAGTGGTTTAACAAACTGATGGTTCTATAATCAGCACAGGTTTTTGCTGTTTTCTTCTTAGGTAGAGCTATAAACGGTGAATTAGACTAATCATTAGGTAGTTATCCGCTGGTATAAATGGTATTGAAAAACGAAGTTATAGCCTCTAAAACATTGCTATCATTTATAAGCTTATATATTTCAGTTGGAATTTCATCAGGACCAGTCGCTCTGCCACCTTTAAATGATTGTATGTGACGTAATTTTCCCAATCTTAAAGTTTGTCCTCTACTTCAAATAGTACTTTACCATTTTCATCCTGTATCAATGCAGTTTGTTTCTTATTGAAGATACCAGCCACCAGCCGCTTCTTTCACTTTTTTATACATGTTAAACGTGTCGTATCTTTTTTCAAGTTCCTCAATGTCTTTAAACTGTTTGGCTAGATGTTGACTCTTTGCTTCTCGTATTTTACGTCGAATTTCCTTTTGTATGCTGTTGTAAAGTGATGCGTTGTTTTTCGCTAGTCGCCGTTGTTCCATCAAATCCAATATGTCATCTGTCATCCAAGCCTTCTTTTTTAGTTTTAACCTGCCTTGTAAATTTCTAGCAGTGTTGGCATGTTTTAATAATGTATATGGTGTATGCTTTAAATATAAAGAGATAAAGTTTTAGAAAAGTAGATTTTGATTATCTAATTTTATGAATTCTACAATTTTTGATTTACATAAAACAAGAATGAATAAATATTTGTTTCTTTGGAAATTAATTGCAGTTAATTATTAGAAATTTTTTTGGCAATTGCCCTTTGATAGATTAGGGGATAGATTTGACAATCGTCAAATCAGCAGTTGCCAGATTACAACAGATGTTTTTAATGAATCTCGAAAGAGACAAAGATTTACTCTTTATTCTTTCATAAGAATTAAAAATTAAAATAGTATAATAAAAATGTACCTTTTAAAAGCTTTCTCTCATCAAAGTATACAACATATGCATTATAAAAACATCAAAACACTGCCAAATCCAAATATTTTATCATTTTTTTTATTATGGTTCACATTTGCAGCTATATTCAGCTTGTACTGTCGATAAACTCAACCATCGATACTATTTATTTACCAATTGCCACTAAAATGCACCTTTTTGAAATCTGCCTTATTAGTTAAAATTTACAGGGAGTTTGGCAAGATACGAAACAATCACACTGATTTCTTTACATGATTCTAAGTCTAAGTAAACGAATAAGGTAATAAGGATGTACAAAAATCTATGGAAACAAGAAAACTAGAGGATTGTATATATATATATATATATATATATATATATATATATATATATATATAAAAGAATTATATGTTTTTATATATATATATATATATATATATATATATATATATATATATATATATATAAGAATTATATGTTTTTATGTCCTTACCTAATTTCTTGGTTTTTCATCATTTTCATTTCTTCCTTTACACTAGTCACTTCACTTGTGAGATCCGAAACCTGATCCATTAGATTCTGTCTTTCATTCTTACATTTATCAATTTCATCTTTCTGTCTGTTAATCTCTTTCTTTAAATTTGCACATTCCGTTTCTGATGCCTGCAGTCTTAGATTCACATTATCCAACAATAGTTGTTTTTCTCTTTCTAATCTAGCTTTTTGGTCCTTAAACCCCCTACGTTCATCCTGAAAATAATAGAAAAAGATGAGAAGTGTAATAATTGCATAGAAAAATATAATTAGGTACATTGGGTGTGTATATAGAATCTATTACTAGTGCATTGATACTTTCACAAAAATAACACATGATGTAAGTGTTGGTCAGTTCGATTAACTCAAATAATAAATTATTATCTAATCTGATTTAAAATCAACATAAACAGAAACACATCCGCTTAAACTTAGATTAATCGAAAAAATAAATATTTCTGTATATATCTTTACGTTGGAGATTTTAAAACATCCGTAGCAAACTAAAACATCATTAAGATAATGTTGGGTGCACGAAAAACGGGCACCCTTATGATTTCTGACGAAATTGCCCAGATTTTTTGTTTTTTTTTGTCAAACAATGAAAAATGTTTAGCAGAAAATCCCAAAGATAGTTTTGAACAAGAAATTACTTTTAAACTGAAATATTCTAGATGTGTTAGAAAATCTCAATATTGAAGTTATCATCTTTTACTCTTACTTTAGCGTTACAAGCAGGCTGAGCCCTTTCAATTGTTTTTACTACGAGATTTCTATTTATTTGTGTCAAAAGTGTTTATTATTATCGTGCTCGTGTAAATTCTTGTCAATTTTAAGATGTCTTTAGAGTGCAGAAATTGTTGCATCTATTTGTACCGAGTTAGTCACTTAACTAATTCCTAAATTATTTTTAACTGAGATCTTAAGATCTTTAAACCAATAAAATTGATTAAATATCTCCATAGTTGTTACTTTTAACTTGTAAATTGGTATTAAACAGCGACCCCAACCGATAAGATTCTGAAAGCTGCATCCACGCGACATCATGAATTTATTCACTTCTGATCGAACCTTCAACGTGAGAACACACTGGCAGGTCCGAAATAATGTGAAATAGGGAGATAGAGTTGTGATTTTTTCAATAAGTTTAGTTCACTTGGCATTTATTTATGGGTTTTTGTTTTTGGAATTTTTATTGATTTTGGTTGTTAATTTTGGATTCCATCTTAATTAGGCTCGGTGAGTACATAATAATTATATGCAGCCATTTTAGAATTTCCATTGTTACATCTTTATAATAAATAAGGTGACGATAATGAACCACCAACACCAGAGGTGACGACAAACGAAGAAATAAATATTAAGGAGGAGGAGGTGAAGGAAGCCTAATGGAAATTAAAAAATAGAAAATCACCATGAGAGGACAGAATACCGACAGTACTCCTAAAGTACGTAGGACCAGATCTGATCAAATAACTATTAAAACTAATCCAAAAAATAATTCTTCAGAATTCTTCAGAGAAGATTTCTTCAAGATTGGGGATCTAGCATCCTAATATCCCTCTTCAAAAAGGGAGACAAATCGGACACGGAAAATGACAGAGCAATTAATTTATTAAACACATATTAAACAAAAATTAACAACCAAAATGATAACAAAAAAAACTCAATGAAATTAAAACACTAGCAGAAGAACAACAAGGTTTTAGGTCGGGAAGATCATGCACCGACGTTATATTTATAATGAGGCAAGTTCAAGAGAAATCGTTAGAATACAACAAACCGACATATCTATGTTTCGTGGAACTTAAGAAGGCATTTGACCGGGTCAAATTAAAAGACGTTATCCACTTATTGTACGCAAGAGAGATTCCTCTAGGAATAATCAAAACGATAGAAAATATCTACTAAAACAGCACAATAAAAGTAAAAGTAGAAGAAGAAACAATTTAATATAACCGCTAGAAAATTTAACATCCTAATTTCCCCAAAAAAGACAAAACGCATGATTATAATAGCAAATTTACTAAAATGTAAATTGGAGCTGGAAGGTCAGATAATAGAACAAGTGATGGATGTTAAATATCTAGGCATCACATTATTTAGCCACGGAAAGCTCGAAACTGAAGTGAAAGATCAAGTGAATAGAGCAAGGCCGCAGGCTGCTTGAATGAAACAATATGGAGACATAAAAATATCAAGAAAGAAATAAAAGGCAGAATTTACAGAACAGTCATCAGACTAGTAATGACATACGCGACAGAAACAAGACCTGGCACAGAGTGGACAAAAAGGATGTTAGAAACAGCAGAGATGAAAACACTTGATAGTAAAACACTATGGGACAGAGCTAGAATTACAGATATACGACGTAGATGCAAGGTGGAGAAAATCAAGAACTGGGTAAGAAATAGAAGAGTAGAATGGAACGATCATATAAGCCGAATGACAACAAATAGAGTAGTACAGATGGCAAGAGACGGTTCCCCAATAGAAAGATGATCTGTAGAAAGACCACGAAAACGATGGAACGACAACATACTGTAGGAACATTGAAAAACAGACAGAGTCGTGTCTGTATAAAAAGAAGAACAAGAAGAACACATCTTTAAAATGATTTATTATCATATTTCCTTCCTTTTTCATTAATGAATAGTCTATATTTTAAAAATATTTAGAATAATCTATTGTCTACTAATTTTATTTCCATTTTCGATTCCGAAAATCATATAATTATTCCAATTGATCCAAGATCGTACCAAAATTTCATATCATTAAGTTTTTGTCAGCACCAAACCAATTTCTTTTATCGACCTTTTATCACTTCTTACAATGTTAAAAACCTTGTTTTTTTTTCTCCCTTTTTCTTACCTAACGGGAACAGAAATTAACAAGGGTTATATTTTCTAGCCGGTATCCCCTAAATAAATAAAAAGAAAGCTCATATTCACCAGACGTCACCTGAGAAGAAATTGGAATTTAAGTTATGGCTTTTGTTTTTTGGAATATCATTTCTACCAAGGATTGGGCTTGCTTTCCTCGAAGAAGAAGTTCTCCTAAGATTAACATCTGCAAGTCTAACCAAAACCGGCAGAAAAACTCCACTTCTTTCTTTTTTTTATCAAATAGTTGAAAATTGATGTTTTTTTAAGTTTGTGTTCAGATAACCCAAAGATTCAGACCCTCATCATACGATAGCTTTTCCTCCTTACGTTAAAGGTGCCACTGACAAAATCGGTTAGTTTTTTGGTCCTTGTTATTGGGATTTTATATGTAAGAGGTTAATTTTTTGTCCTTTTTATTGGGATTTTATATGTAATTCGTCCATCATCCTCTGCCAACCGTTCTAGTTGGACGTTACTATAACTACATCATTGGCGAATTTAATATGATTCAAGAAATTCCTCGTCTTGTCTATTTCAACCACGTAAAAACAGCCCCCAGTGGTGCTGAAAGTAGTTTTGGAGATATTGTACCGTCCTGCCTTCTTCTTCTTTTGGTGCCTATCCGTTACGGATGTTGGCTACTAGCATGAAGTCTGAAGTGGTCAAGGAAAACAATTTTCGTAAGTTCTGGAGCCAAGATATTCTTCTTCCTGGTCCCCTCTTTCCATAGACCTTTCCCTGTAATATAAGTTGCAGCAGGTTATAACTATGGTCGTTTCGCATTATATGTTCAAGATATTCTAGTTTGCGCTGTTTTACTGTGGATATAATTTCACATGTTTTATCCATCCGACGTAGAACCTCAATGTTTGTTATTTGGTCCACCCAGGAGATCCTCAGTATCAGTCTATAACACCACATCTCAAGCGCCTCGAGTTTTTCCATAGATTCCTCGGTTAGTGTCCATGATTCAACCCCATAGAGCAGCACTGGAAACACGTACTAGGTCGTGGCTCTTAAATATCTTGCTCATTCTGACAAACGCTGCCCTGGCTTTTCCAAGTCTTTGTTTTATCTCAACTGAGTTGTCCCATTGGTCGTTTATGGTGGTTCCTAAATAGTAGTAACGGGGCACTTGGAGTATTTGTTGCTGATCTACCAATAATTGACTAGGTGGAATATGCTTCTTACTGATGACCATGTGCTTTGTTTTCTTGATGTTAAAATCAAGCCCGTACTCCTGACTGATTCTCCACAACTGCGTTAGTAGTGTCTGTAAACCTTCTAAACTGTCTGCAAAGAGAATGGTGTCGTCTGTATATCTGATGTTATTCAGGCGCTCACCATTTATGAGAATACCCTCTTCGATATGCTCTAAGACCTGGCTCATGACGTGTTCCGAATAGACGTTAAATAATAGGGGAGAGAGTATGCAGCCCTGTCGTACTCCTCTCTTTATTGCAACTTCCTCTGTTAGTTGGTCTTTCACCCGAATTGTTGCTGATTGGTTGTAGTATATATTCTTGATTACTCGAAAGTTTTTGTTATCCAGATCAGTTGCCTTTAGTATATCTATGAGCTTATTTAGTAATCTATGAGCTTATCGTGCTTGATTCTGTCGAAAGCTTTCTGGTAGTCGATAAAGCATGCACAAATATCGCAGTTGACGTTGAAAAATAATACCTGAACCGCGAACAAGGCTTCTCTTGTACCTAACGCATCCCTGAATCCAAACTGCGTTCGTGAGATCTGTGACTCGCATTTCTGATAAATTCTTCTGTGTATTATCTTTAAGAGGTCCTAAGAATGTGGCTCATTAGACTGATAATACGATGCTCTTCGCATTGTTTTAAATTAGATTTTTTAGGTATAGCAAAAAATGTAGATTTTAACCAGCTCTCTGGGATTTTTCCCGAGTCATAGATTTTATTGAACGTTATCGTAAGCCATTTTACTTCTTCGTCTCCCATGATTTTTAGAAATTCTGAATAAAAGTTGTCGGGCCCTGGTGGTTTACCTTCTTTGGTTGCTTAAATTGCGGCTTTGACTTCGTCTTGAGTCATTGGTGGTCCTGTGTCGTATTCCATAATTATCTGGTTGTTATCTCTGTCGTCATCGAATGTCTTCTCAACGTATCTCTTCCATATATTCTTTGTTTGTTCAATATCTATTACCGGGTAGCCATGATCATCAGTCATATGTCCTGATCTCTTTGGTTTGTACGTGCCTTACGCCACGATTTATTTCAATTGGATTAGTTTTTTTATCGCTATTGATTAATACCGTCATTTTAGCTTATTCATATACAAGTTTGGGTTGGCCACACAACCATTGGGTTTTGTGAAAATGCTAAGACAAGTCGTCGATTTTTATTCTAAAGGGATTATCTTTTAAAGATACAGATAACTGTTAATTGTCAGCCCCTCGCCTACAGTATCCCAAACCTTAGTATTAAATGGAAAACATACCATGTGTGGCACATTGTTAGATATGTATTTTGCTTCAGAATTTAGACATCCATAATTTTCTCCATATTAACTCTATTCTCGTGAAAAGTATCAGTTTATTGAACGTGTTACACTTCTTAAAAACTAAACGTAACGCCTATGGTTTGGCTAGTGTCAATTTGGGGTCAGGTCAAAAACTACATTAAAACGAAATTTGCAACATTAATAGGAAACTTTATTAAATGTAACGTTAATAAAATGAACTAAATTTTAAATTAATAAATTCATAATTCAAAACAGTTTATTTTTGTCCATACAATTATACAGTCGCTGTTCGAAAGTACGAAGAACATGTTGGAGCATTTTAGGGGCTACTGGACAATATTCATGCACTATTCGGCGTCTTACTGCTTCGAATTATGCTAGAATGGTATTAAAAATCTTGCTTTTTAAATAACCCCATATGAATTGTATATGTTCTCCATATGGTGTTATTTAAAAAGCAATATACCATACCAGCTTCATGCGTTTTAAAGGTGATGTGAGCAGTGCAAAGACAGAATATCGAATAACAAAGACTACAATTCCAGTAAACAAAACAAAACGACAAACATTAAACAAGAGAAATGAAAAGAGCTGGATCTTACCTGTAATTTCTCTTCGCTCCTCATTTCAGTTTCCCTAAGTTGTTCTTCTAACATAATAACCCTGGCTTGGAGAGCTGCATTGTCTGCTTTGGCTCTCGTATACCTCTCATCGTTTTGGTTGGCTGTGTCTTGAAGATATCCTACCTGCTGCTGTAATACCTGAAACTAAAGAAATATTTGGTTAGAAAAATTAACAAAATGAAATCTTGAGGTGTACATTATAAATATATTTTAACTGTCACGTGTGAGCAGTATGCAAATATTACATTTAAGATAAAGAACTCACTTTACATAGATCTCAAAGAACCACTTTATTCACTAAAAACCAATCAGGAAAAATCAATCAGGTGGTAGAGATTCAAAGTACTGCTGACGCGAAAAATATGCAGAAAGATTTTCCACTATCCCTCACACCTAATACACGCTACGACAAATAATACCCCGCTCATAACAACCCGACTCCAATCCTTAGGCAAGAGATACACCTTGGGGACTATCCAGGGTCGCAACACCAGGGCCCAGAGAGTTCTCAAGATGCCTTGTCACAATAGAGGACATATAGTAGTAAGAAAACCCAAAAATAAAGTTCCACACATCCCATCCCTCCTACTAAATGCGGTAGGAGCGGATCTCCCGGATGACTACTATGATGTCCTCGAATCAACTCCTTACGAGTACCGCGTTCAAAACTAAAAAGGACAGGGTGAGTTAGTTTTCTGTGGTTTCCTAACTCATTGCACAAATTATACCTGATCCTAGATGAGGTTGTAGCCACAGCTATCCTCCACGTTTGAAAAAAAAAGACCAAAAGAGTCTGCTAAAGAGCCGCTTTAGGAGAGTTAAAAGTATTAATAGCATTAACCACCAAACCAAAGAAGATGATGCCCAAAAACACGAAGCCAACCCCACTACAAGGCCAACAAAAGCAGAGATACGTAAGCTCCTCCCCCGCCGACCACTAAAAAGTAATTTAATCGACAAACATCCCTGTGTAAGCTATAAGCTGGGCCGCTCGCATCATCCGCCGGAGGACGAATTACAGTGCAATACATTGGTTTGTCCGCTGGCGGGGGAGATAAGTGATTCAGTAATCAATAGCAATAAACGGGGTAGTCAACGATAAATAATTACACACAACATCCACCACCCGGCGACCGCCGTTACCTGAAAATCTCCGCTTGCCACAGCCGCGCTCGATCAACAACGGAATTTCAGTGCAATACACTGGTTCCGAGTTGACCGATAAGCGCGATTGTGAACTAAAAGCGAAAGACAGAGTAAGGAAAAACGGCAGTCAAAGAAAACGTAATACGCTTAACCACCGACGACAATTGGCAAAACCAATTCTCAACCTTGAAACCAATTCCACCCCGGACATTAACGATCAAATAAAATAAACCAAAACAAACCCAAAAATCCCATTCCCTGAAGAGACAGAAGCCTGAAACAGGGGTTCTCTCTGGCAGAAAGAGTAAATACGAATCAGTCAGTACTGCTGAGCTTCTTTGGAACAAAATGCTCTAAGTGTCTCTACATCTTCAAATTTTTCTCTAGAAAGAGATAGCAGCTGCTGATGAGATGCTAAAGGTAACTGGAGTGTCATTGGTTTTTTCTGCCCTTTAGAATCACTGTATTTGAAACGAAATTTCCATAGTACGTTGGACGATGAAAAATAAAATGGGGAGATTTTTGTTCAATAGGTCTTGTTTGAAATGGACATTTTTTAAAGAATTTGTTATCAAAATACTCAATCCAGGATTTCAGCATATTTTGGTCAACTTCAATCACATCAAAAGGAAATGGTTCTTTTCTTGAATTCCAGAAAACTTCAGCCCATTCCTCTGGCAACTCAACTCTGGATTTTTGATTTATAATCCCCATATTTTTATCTGTTTCTATATCTCCTTGGAAAAATCATATGTATGGTCTTAAGTCTCTTCTCTACGTGAACAAGATGATACAAAAATCTTGCAACTGTATAGTTTTTATTTTGACCCCCACAAGACTATGCGAATATAAACAACTCTTCAACTGAAGGATCAAGGAAATTATGGACGAAATGGTGAAAGAGAGAAGACACATCGTCTGCGCCTTTTTCCCCATTGTCTGTGGGTATGTATAAAAAACACTTTTATTAAAGTGTATGTTAAACGTAAATACAGATAATAATTGTCTTTTGTAATATACATCATTTGTTGAAATGTTAGGCACTGGCAAGTTTTTTTGGTAGTCAATGCAAATGTTTTCGATTTTTTCATTGGTTTTGCATAAACTTTTCATTTGCCGTTTTTTCTTATAAAAAGCTTCTGCTTTTATTTTATGAAATTTGCTTGCAGTGTAAAGGTTTTTCATCTGTTTTTCAGAACAAGAATTGATTCGCTTGCAGTGAGAAGGGCAAGTTAGTTTTTTCTTTCTAGAGTGATTTTAGTTTTGCAACGTATTCATTACACGTACTGCAACTATTTGTTCGGGGGTACCCAAATGAAATATTAAACTTATTCGTAAATAAAGTTCTGTAAGATTCGTAAAAAATGGTGGCTTCTTTGTACATTTTCATGTACATATGCACATTTTTGTAACGTTTAATTCCTCGGATAGGTACACTTTAGAAAAATCCTTTAAGCTATAATGCGATTTTCTTCCTTTAAAGGAAGATATATGTTCCATCGCAGCAGCAGTAACAGCCTCCAATAGCTTATGAGGGCGATTATCGTGTTTACCTCTATTGTTTGTAGGTGCCTCTCCAGGTAATTTCAAAGATCCTTGCAATAACTCTAACTTCTTTCTTCCGATTCCATGAATACACAGAAAACCTTTAGCGCAGATAGGTACGTCAGCAGTAACTTTGTCGGCATTTTTAAATCGAACTCTTTAAACATATGTTGAATCATGTCATTTTTCTGGGTCAGTCAAATCTTTTCTTGACCTCTGTTGTTTAATTTGTAAAACTGTAATAAGACCACATATTAAAATTACGTATTATTGACTGTCTAGCGTCAGGTGATACAATTGCAAAGCAACGATATCTTTTGCACTTACAGTCTGGCCCTGTTACGTGACTCTGTAGTCGTAGCCTTTTACGAACCTCATTCATCCGCCCAGTTTTTTCCGTTTTTTGTGTTTTCTTGTGTAGGGTTCTCTAAGCCATCACTACTACTGTCTATAAAGTCAGTTGCAAAAACTTTACTAATTTTTTTAATAAATAATTTAACGATATTATAGATTTTAATAAATTGCACACTGCTGCGATGAATTCTTTAGTGCAACCAAATAGTAAAAAATTACTTTTATCAATATATAATACTCGACAACCTTACAAATCTATAAGACTCACATATAAATGTATTTGTTTATGCCAGTTTATCTTAGTCATACATACATAGAATAACATTGATAATGATAAGGAAGTAAAAAAGGGAAATACAGATTTTATGACTCAAAAAATATTTTTGTGTGGGTATGAAGACATTTACACAGGAAGTAGATCCGTAGTAAAATTATCGTATTATCGTACTTTCCTATATTTACAAATTTTTTATCTGTTACATAGAATTTTAAGTTTGGTCAGTAGAAATATCAATGATTTAATCTTAAATTTAAAGAAACATCTCAAGCTTGAGTAGGGAATAAAATTGGATATTTAATGTTATTTAATGAAGACAGCCGTGGTTTAGTCGGACCAGTTATATGTCAAATCCTTTACTATTTGAATTCTAATACAATGTTAAACAAAAATTTAAAAGTAAATTAGCAATCAGTTCTTAGCATTTATCTTTGTTTTTAAATATAACAATAAAACACTGAAAACTTTGTTTACAATGCTTCCACAAAATTTATTATAATATCTTATCACTACAGCTGTTTCGGCAGAGTGCCTTTCGCAAGTGATCTATTTTTGGGTATGTGTTTACACTTTATAGTCTTTAACTGAATAGGGTGAGGAGGGGAGAATTGTTTGTCTCAAGTTGGTCATTCAGAATTATGTCGGTGTTTTTTAATTTGTTAATTTCCATAAATTCGCCAAATTCGTCATTAAAAGAAATAATATGATCTAGAAGGTGAAGTGCGTATCTAGAATCTGTTTTTCTATTATTGAAAGCCTTTTTATGGTCTGCTACACGTTTGTTAAAAGTTCTACCAGTTTGACCGATGTAAGTTTTTGGGCAGTCGCCCCATTTAAGTTTGTATACACCACTGTGTAAGTGCTAAGTTGTATATTCTAAAAGCTGGTATTATTTCTTTATTTTTATGTGTTTGGCTATTTTTGTTGATATCTTGCCTGTATATGTAATCGAGCAGAAGATACTGGATTTTTTCTTTGGTGGTGGAAATACTAATTTCAGGGCTTTCTTCTTCAGGGCTGTAGCTTTTGATTTAAAATTTTATTAATTGTTTGTTCGTTGTACCCATTATTTACTGCTATTTGCTTAATGATATTTAATTCTATGTCAAAGTTGTATTTTGACATCGAAATTTCTTTTAATCTATGTAACATGTTATGATAGGCTGCTAATTTATGTTGTGTAGGATGGGATGATGAATTATGTGTGTATAGTCGTGTCAGTATGGGTAGGTTTATGAAATACGTAGAACTCGATGTTTTGTCTAATAATCTTTAAATCTAAAAAAAATATGGATTGATTTTGTTCTGTTTTTATTGTAAATTCAATATGACTATGGAGTGAATTAATATGCGATAAAAATTGGTCAAGTTGCCTGCTGGTTTCTGTAAAACATACTCATGTTTGTTTTTAAGTCTGATAATTTTTAAATCTAGAAAATTTATGGATTGATTCTGTTCTGTGTCTATTGTGAATTTAATATGACTATGGAGTGATTTAATATATAATAAGAATTCGTCAAGTTGTCTGTTAGTATCTCCACCAATACAAAATCTGTTTGAATATTTGATGTTTTGAAATCTTTGTTTCTAGATGCTTCATAAAAATATCTGATAGCAATGCAATACAGACATAATTCTGAACGCTAACTTGAGAAAAACAGTTCTACCCTTCTCAACTTATTCAGTTAAAAACTATAAAGTGTAAACAAATACCAAAAATAGATCACTTGAGAAAGGCACTCAGGCCGAAACAGCTGTAGTGATAATAATTTAAAATACATTTTGTGTAAGTGTTGAAAAAAAAGTTTTCAGTGTTTTATTGTTAAATAAATTTCTTATAATGAATAATCTAAATACAGAAAATTTCTTTCAATGATCCTAAATTCCTTCAATGATTCAAAATAAATTTACTCATAGGATAATTCCATAATCGAACAAACAATAACAATTAGTGTACGTAAAATTCCTGTATACTTAAATTAGTTTTATACCTCCATATGACACGTCATGTTTGTACAAATCAACAAATTCTTAAAAATAGATATCCCAATTATAGCTAATTTCTCTGATGATATAGCTAGCTGGCTCTAATTACATGCCTCTTAAAAAACAGAATAGATAAATGCACCACAAATATACTAGGACAATACCAACAAGATTTTAGAAAAGAAAAATCTACTATAGACGCTATTTACCCGCTAACACAACTGAGTGAAAAGTGCTACGAACATGACATAAATTTACAACTGCTATTTACAGACTTCTAGCAAGCTTTCGCCTCTGTAAATAGACACCAACTTTTACTAGAAATGCAAAACATTGATATACCAGCAAAACTGATCAGATTAGCGAAAATGACAATAGACAACTCTATAGCAGAAGCTATAACAGAAGAGGGAAATATAGAAACTCTCAATATCAAAGTAAGAGTTCGACAAGGTGACAGCCTGTCTACAACACTTTTAACATATCACTGGACGGAGCGATTAAAAAAACTGGAATTAACAAGATGATTATAGAAAGCTCTGCATATATTATATGATGTGCTGACGATATGGTAATCCACAAGAGAAAAAAAAACTTATAATACTCACGGATGACTCTGATAAAAGAAGCGACACTTAGAGGTCTCGAACTAAATGAAAAAAAGGAGGAGTATATGTTAATCTTAAGAAAAATTTTAACTAGATAATATAATAATTGAACAATAAATATTCCAAAAAGTTAAGAGATTTAAGTGTCCAGGAGCAACAATAGACAGCTTAAACGACAGGAGCGCAGAGAAAATTCAAAGATTAAAACCAGGCAATAGATCATATTGGAAATACCAAAAACTATTAAAAGATAGAAATATCAGCAAAACCACTAAAAATGAAAATATATAAAACAGCAATTAGATCTTTCATAACCTACGCAGCAGAGACAATGTGCCCGACAATACAGACGAAGAGAAGCTAAGAATAATAGAAAGGAAGATCCTTAAAATAATTCTTAGGCAAAAAAAATCCAAGACAGAGACGAGTTAGACGACTAGTAAACAACGAGATAAATAATTAGATAAATGGAAAAGGTAATGATACAGTGGGGTGTAAAATTAACCGGACACTCAGATTTTCCCTAAAAATTGGCGTTTAAAAAAGTTTAAATGTTCCCAATTGAGTATTTAATAATAAACAAAATTTAAAAGTCAAATTTACTATAACTCAAGAATGTTACACAGAAAAAACAATAAACAATTCAAAAAATTTGAAAATCTACAAACAAAAATTTTTTTTAATATAAACATTTTTTATGGAAAACGATATTCAGTAGAGTGTATTATCTCCACGAGCCCTAATTACGGTTCTCATTCGATCCGGCATACTTCGGATTAAGGCAGCAAAGTCTGGTTAAGGGATTTGCTCCCATTCGTCACGAACTGCTTGCTCCAAATCATTCATGGTTTTAAACTCACCATGGTTACATTGAATACGTCGTCCCAGAATCTCCCATGCATGCTCTATTGGATTTAAGTCTGCACTCATTGGGGGCCATGGCAATAAACGAATCCCAACTTCATCCAAGTAATCTCGTGTTATTCTTGCGATGTGCGGACGAGCTATATCTTGCATTAGACGAAAGTTTTCTCCAACAAATGGAGCAAATGGCACTACATAATCTTCCAAACTTTGCTGAACATACCGTTGAGCGTTCAAATTGCCCCATTTAATGTAACAAGTTCTGTATGAGACTCTAGAGAAATACCTGGCCACACCATTATACCACCTTCAACAAATTGAACTCTTGGAGTAAAACAACATTAAGATGTTGGCAAGCGAAGTGTAAACGTTGCCTCCGATGATCTGCTGTTAATAGAGGTCCCGTGACAAGTATTCTTAACCTTAATCTATATTCATTTAAGCGTCTTCGAACGGTACAAATGGAAACTGTGTTTCTATCACATTTAATTGTTGAACAAATACTGGTGCTGATAATACACGATCGCGTAATGCTTGTAACCTAAGAAAGCAATCTTCAACTTGACTTTGGTTCTTCGTCTAGCTTGATCTGGCCTCGTAGTGTATTGTCCTGTTTTACAAAATCTTTGTCTTTTAGCAAACACTGTACTTCGAGAAATTCCTAAAGCATTTGCGATGAAACGAATGCTCCGCCCATCATCCTGTAAAGCAACAGCCTGTGCTACTTCTTCTGGTGTCTCAATTTTTTTAATGCAAGTTTTAAATATGAGACAACACAAAAACCTACAGCCGAACTTATAATTAGGTACAGTGCCACAAACTTACATTAATACTAAGCCACTATTTCACATTAATAACAAAACATAAGTGTAAAAGTGTTGTTGTTCGCAAAAAACATCTAACCAGGTTCAACCAAGAAAAAAACGTTATCGCTAATAAGACATAAAATACAATTAAAACAAATTAAACAAGTTTTGATCTGAACACCAACAAAAAACAAAAAAATCTGAGTGTCCGGTTAATTTTGCACCCCAGTGTATATAGATAATAGAGGCTTAAAGGTTGAAATGACAAAATATTACAGTGGAAACCTACAAATACATGGCCTAGAGGAGACCAAAGTGCAGATGGGAAGATCCGGTCAAAGAAGATATCCAGGGAATGAAGATACCTAACTGGAGAACAAAAATAGAAAATAGAATGGAATGAAACTTAATTACCAATTGGACGAAATAACACAAAAACCCGTGAAAGCAAGTAAAGCGACATAGAACAAGAAAATAAAGAAAATGCGGAGTGATCTCCTGCGAAAAACGGATCAAAAATCAACAGAGCTCATATTAATGCCGCTTATACTCCGCAGTGTACACAAACATGTGAGAGTGTACAAAGACATGAAGTGCCGCACAAATTTAGTAATCAATTTATTTTTCCATTCTTGCACTTTCTGAGTTTTCGTTTTTGAAAAGTATGACTTCACCTTTATTTTTGGTAAAATGAAAATATATGCTATGTGATACGTCCTTCAAAAGCTCTGGTCTTATTTACCATGCTTCTAGAAATAGAAAGGGGATTTTCTTTTACTGGGCGTCAATTTGACATAATTTTTACATTTCGACGGTCACTATTTTGAAATTGGTGCGATACGATAATACGATTGTACAAAAATTTAGGAGCATACTTTAGGAGAACACATGAGCTTTCAAATACCGTAATATTTTCATTTAACAAAACTGTCAATAAAAAAAATAAATTCTATCAAAAAGGAATATTAAAAAAGTAAATTGACCTGTTTCAGTTTTTTATAAAAGATTAATTCCTAGATTCCTAAATTATTCGGGGTGGTCTATACTTATTTTACACTGTCGCATTGAACCTGACCGATTCAATGCGACTGAATTTCTAAGTAATTTAGTATTCAATTCTAGCCTAAAAGTATAGCATTTATTTGATTTCTATTCGTAGAACAGACGGACCATGCGTAATATACAAAAATCGCTTAACAATTTTGTAAACAATTTCATTAACCAACAAGTCAACACAAAATAAAAAACGATACCTACCGAATCATCAGAGTCACTATCCGAATTATGATGATGCATTCCCATAACTCCGTTACTTTTGAAATCGTTGGCTTTAAAGTCTTTCACATTAGGTCCAACAAACTCAAACTGGCCATACCACATGTCGAAGTCCAAATCGTCCTCGGTCTCGAGTCCATTTTCTTTTTCCTCGTTGTCAGTGTCCGTCATTTTAGAGAAAAACCTCGAAAATTTCATTTGTCACGCGGGAAAAATGGATGTGTACCGTATCACGCTAATTTTCGACTGATAATGGTTCCATTCATCGCTGGACGCTCCCTTGATAGTAAATTAACCGCATTACTAAGTTAAAATGATAAATAATTGAAACAAGGTTGCATTGGAGCACTGCCGAGTCGAGTAATCTGTCGGTGAGTCACTTTTAGTAGAGCTTTCAATGAGTTAAAATGTTTTCCGAAAAAATAAACCTACGCTTACTTAAAATTAAAATATTACTTTATTTTTGATGTATATGGATATAAAAAAATTAATATATTTTAAGCTATATTGTTAAAAATTAATTTTTGGATGTTATTTATTTTGTGTAAACTACCTAAGTATCAAAACAAAACAAAAACTGCTAACAAATATAAAACATAAACTGCGAGAAATTATCAGTTTCTTGTTGAATTTTGTGTTTATTATTTTTTTATCCTAAGATCATTTCAATAAATTCTGATTGTAATAAAATATACAAACGACATAAGTATTGATGCAAATCATTAGTCAGATTTGGGTAAAAGATATTTGGTATTATTTAGGTTTTCTAAAAATTTAAAAATATACAGGATGATTCATATGAAAAAAAATTCTTTCAAATCAAAGTTTTCCATCTCCTTACTGCAATCTCTTTAAAATATTCCTCCACATCTTCCAGATATCTTAGCTTAGGTTGTCCCCTCTAGGAATTTTATTTTGAATCATCATTCAATCTTCGCTTGTCCACTGCTGGACATAATTTTCCATCTGATTCGATCTTGTGCCTCTTGCAACCTCGAGCCACGTGACCTGCTCAGTTTCACTTCATTGTTGCTATTCTCTCTACGGCATCACCCACTTGTGATCTTCATCGTAGCTGGCGGATCTTGTCTCGTATTGAAACGTCCAACATAGCACCCTCCATCACTCTTTGAGCCACACGGATCTTTTTCACTGTTCTCTTTGTCATAGTCAACGTTTCCGCTCCGTAAGTTAACACGGAGAAGCTCAACGGTTTGGTTATCTTTCCCTATGCGAATCTCGTAACCTAGGTATTTATAGGCCACTACCTGGTCTATGGATCTTGTTCCTACGCATATATCTTCGCTAACTACAAGATTTTTGATTATCTTTTTCACTGTTCTCTTTGTCATAGTCAACGTTTCCGCTCCGTAAGTTAACACGGAGAAGCTCAACGGTTTGGTTATCTTTCCCTATGCGAATCTCGTAACCTAGGTATTTATAGGCCACTTCCTGGTCTATGGATCTTGTTCCTACGCATATATCTTCGCTAACTACAAGATTTTTGATTATCTGGGTTTTGATATATATTTCTTTTCAATTCTCCTTCTAGCGAGAAAAGGAAGAGCTGATTAAAAAGTTCTTTGGCCTCATATATACTATCAGCTATTAGCACCATATCATCTGCAAACCTCGGGTGGCTAAGCTTTTCTCCATTGTCGGTCAGTTTTACTCTTATATAATATATATATATATATATATATATATATATATATATATATATATATATATATATATATATATATATATATATTCCAAAAGCGTAGTGAACAGTTTCGGTAATATGGTGTCTCCCCCTGACGTACTCCACGTTGTATTGGGAATTTGAGTTTGACGATCACATCAAAAAGACAAAATGCATGGTTAACACCATGTTAAGAACACCTGATTGAATTTCAATATCTACGCATCACATTACCTAGCCATGGAAAGTTCGAAACAGAAGTGGAAGATAAAGTGAATAGAGCAAACAGAGCCGCAGGTTGCCTAAATAAAACAACATCTTCTTCTTCTTAAGGTGCCGTGCATTTCTGCGTAGGCGTCCACCATACATCGTCTTGTCAGGTGAGATGTTAAATATTCAGGATTAAAGAATTCTGTTTTTAGCAGCATTGCGAAGCATTTCATAGCTGTGGATTCCTGTCCATTGTCGAATATTGCGCAGCTATGACATTTCTTTACGTCCCAGACCTTTCCTACCCTCTATCTTCCCTTCGACTATCAGTTGCTGAAAAGTGTATCTTTCTCCTCGTAATATGTGCTCCAAGCATGCAGTCTTCTTACTTTTTATATAACTAAAAAGTTCCCTATCCTGTAAGGCCGCTTTTCTGAGTACTTCCTCATTTCTGACCCTGTCCGTCCATGATATTCTAAGCATTCGACGCAGGCATCACATTTCAAACACTTCAAGTTTGTTAATGGAACTGGCCTTTGAAACAACATAGGAGAAATAAAAATATCAGTAAAGAAATGAAAAGCAGAATTTACAAACCTCTTTCACGCACGATGCTAATGCCACTATGGCATCGACATGAAAAATTTGATAATGTTGCTGAAAGACATGGAGGTTGGCAACGTGCAACTACTCTCGACAGGATCGGTATGTGGTAGGATTAGCTTGTCGAAATGTGCATATAACTGCACATGAACTCTGTTGGACCTTACAAAATACCCACAAAATTACTGTATGAAACTGGCTTGCATGTGAGACATTCATTTTGGGTTCTTATGTTACATCATTGAAATCGTGGACTCAGATTGGGTGGGTACAATATGCGCATTGGGGCTTAGAATGGAGTTCTGTGTTATTCACAGGTGAAGCTAGATTTTGTATCTACCCTGATTCAAAGAAATATATGAGTTTAGAAAGGACCTAGGCGACCAGGGAGACGCAGGCATGCACAGGGTGTTCGTCGATACAGTGCTCTACAAGATAAGATGTGGGTTGGAATAATCTTTCATCATCAAACTGTTTCCGTTTCTTTGGAATGCATTTTAAATCAATATCAATAGATTGATCGTATCTTAGAAATTTTTGTGCTTCCATTTGCAACAATGGAATGATTTGCGTTACATGCAGGGTAATGCAAGGCAACATACTGCAGCAACAGTAAGAGATTGGTTTCATAATGAAGATATTACACTTTTACCGTGGCCAGCACAATCGCCAGATCTTAATCTCATCCAGCATGTACGCAACCAGCATACTTCAGAAACGGATTGCTCCTCATCTGCACAATGTTCATACTAGACAAGGTCTTCAAGATCTTCTTACACAGGAAAATGTCCTATTACCTCAAAATAAAATTGATAATCCAATATTAAGCGTGCCAAGTCGGTGTCAAGCTGCAATTAATGCTGCTGGAGGAAACACAGATTATTAACACGTTGAACGCCGTAATGTATGTAAAATTAATGATTTTCTGGGTCGGCAATTTTTTTACTCAAAACATATTTATATGTCATAAATATTCCAAACTTTTGGAAAAAATCTTATTTTGAGAAAAGTATATTTTGGGAGAAGTAGAAACCAAGAATTGTCGCACATGCGTATGTTGGTATAAGAATTTGTCCGAAGAGTTTAATAGAAAGTACGCGACTATCAAAGCAACGCAAACATAATGTTTCAAATTCTATTCTGTAACTTTTTTCACGAATGTTAACACTTGTACTCTTTATACGTTTTACATATAATGCGATACTTCTTCCTATACATTGTGATTCGCGCGGCCCTGTGAGTAAAATAAGCGTGGATCGTATATGATTTGCGCGACGTTCAACGTGTTAAACACATTTTTTGTTAGATTTTTATGTTTTATATTGACTTTTATGTTAAAAATTTCCATTAAATTAGTGCACGTCTTTTGTTTGATTATTTCATCGTGGAGAAATCATATTACTTTTTAAAATCCAATCAAAATTCATGTATATATGAGTATTCCTGAGTATTCCTTAGACATTTTTGATATGTTTATTTTATTGCAAATCAAATAATAAACAAAATGTCTTGTGCAAATGTTTAAGCAGTTGAAGAATAAAAAAATTAATTTATAAAAGGAAATGTACATTTAAAATTTCATTTATTTTAAATTTTCATTTGTAAGAACAATAACTGTTTTATTAGTAGCTTTCCAATGTTAACAACATATTAAAACTGATGAAAAAAAAAATCTTTAGAACCTATTGTCAAAGTAAGTTCATTTAATTTAAATTTAAATATCCAGTAATATAAATCTCAGATGATAAAACAGAGAGGTAATGAACTATTAAATATAAGCATTTAATATTTTTATTTACGAGTATAGAAAGCACGAGCACATATGTATAACAAAATAATGTTAAAGGCATTTTTAAAGACAGCTCTTTAAATTATGAAGTTTTTGGCGCTCCTTCGGCAACGAACAACAATATACTCGACCTATCGACCTACAAATGTATTTCCTCAGTCAATTATTAATTTGTGATTATTTACTAGGTAAACCTACTATTTATTAGCGTTCGACTTTTAAGTGTCACTTGTATTTTGTCCGTCAAACATACTATCACGTTTTAAATCTGTATATTAATAATTCTAAGAAATTAAAATTGTTGATAATCATTTAAAATTAGCATATGCCTGTCCAACCCGTTTACTGTCTAAAAGTTTTGTCCGTTAACATTTTCCACTTGTTAATATCCAACCAACCAAAAATATAATGTTCATAATATTGCTTGGCTTGCAAATGTCCTGCATCGAAATTAAATCTAATACCGTCTTTATGTTATAGTTCTTTACTCGGTTTCGAGAACCAGAAACTAAATTCACTAAGAACTTTTACCATGATGAACGGCATGTGGAATGCAAATTATATTTTCTCTTGTCGCCTAATTCATCAATCTGTCTGCTTTGCAAGTTGTAGAAGGCACAGTGGTAAATATTTGAATTTAGTTTCGCAAAGTAGCAAATCTTAGAATTCCTAGTATTATTACTAATTTTATTGTTATTGGCAAGGATCAGATCGTAGTAGCCCTAGCGTTGCTTTCATCTGGAATATCTGCAACTTTATTGGAAGGTGAACGAATTGCAAATTTTGCCTTAAAATTACCATTAAACATAAAAATTAATGAAACACCGGATTGCAAAATTGCCCCAAGATTTTATAGGTATGCAAATTAATCGCTTGGGATACATTGGCCTACAAGAGGTCATTACACGGATT